TTCTATTAAAATTATTGATTTTGGACTATCAAATTTGTATTCACCACGCTCCCATCTTTCAACGTTTTGTGGTTCTCTATATTTCGCTGCTCCAGAGTTGTTAAATGCAAAGTTGTATACTGGACCTGAAGTTGATGTATGGAGCTTTGGAATTGTCCTTTATGTTCTTGTCTGTGGTAAAGTACCATTTGATGATCAAAGCATGCCTGCTTTACACGCAAAGATTAAAAGAGGCGTTGTTGAATATCCTGGATGGTTAAGTAGCGGTAGGTCCTCATTATATTAATAATAATTATTAACTCATTTATAATAAATGCGCTTTTTTTTTTGTTAAAATTTTATTATTTAATATAAGATTGCAAACATCTACTTTCGAGAATGCTTGTTACCAATCCAATGTATCGTGCTACACTTGCTGAAGTAATGAATCATCCTTGGATGAATAAAGGATACGATGGTCCTCCGGAGAATTACTTACCTTCAAGAACTCCACTCACTCTTCCATTAGATCCTGATGTTATTCGCGGGATGACTGGTTTTGAATTTGGTACTGAGCAAGAAATAAAATGCCGTTTGGAAAATCTAATTAAAAGTGATTCCTATCAAAGTTCTATTAGATCTCAGCACTATAATAATTTTGGTGGATCATGTGATAACAGGAAAAGAACAAGTGGTTTCGATTATTATCGTAGAAAATTATCGGGTTCTAGTGTCTCGATTCAAGAAGATAGATCTATTTCTGCTGATCCAACACAAGCTGTTCATCCATTAATCTCAATTTATTATCTCGTTAAAGAAAAGCTTGAACGTGATCGTTTAGTGCAACAAGGTGGTATTCCTCAACTTGGTTCTTCATCTTCACTTGATACAAATAGCTTGCAAGTACCCTTCATTTCTATGCCTGACCCATCTTATTCAAATGACGCTTGTTTTGACAACACGCGCCAAATGGTACAACCTGGAACAAGCCCAAATTCGCAAGTTATTAGACGCGCAACCGTTCCTACCGGAACGAGACCTCGTTCACGTACTAGCTGCGAAGGAGAGTTGAATAATACTTCAATAGGTTCTCCTGCTATTAAAGAGAGAGAGATCCCCGAAGAAACAATGGATGAAGTTAGTGGTGAGTTAAATTATGGTAAAAAGAGCAATGAACTATCAGCAAATAATGGAAATACTGGTGGTGGACTAATCAGGCGCTTGAGTTTAGCTATAGTTGGCCAACCTCGCGATTCCATATCACCTCCGTCTTCTCCAACCCACATATCATCAAGAGGTCAAACGGAACATCGTCGTCACGGATCCACTCCAAATGGTCCAAAAAAAGAAAATGCCCACCATTTCTCTCATAGGATATCTACCATATTATCAAGAGCCACATCTATTTCTGAAGCAGATTATCGACGTCATAAACAAAGAAATTCTGTTGGAAATAGTAGACCTGTTACTACCATTATTGTTAATGGTAATAGTGGAAATAGTGGAAATAGTGCGACAAAGAATTCTGGTGTTAAAGGTCCTGTTGGTGCCTTACCACAATTGGCTGAGCCATTATCACGACAAAATCCTCAGTCTGATAAGTCTACAACTGTTTCAGGTACTTCTTCCAATGCAAACCGCTCTTCACATCAACGAAGTACATCTAGTGGATCACCGGTGACCATAAGTGTTAATACAAATACAAATCAACAAGTGGCCGACAATGATTTCAATTTTCCACCTTCATCTTCCCCACATTCACCTTTACCAGGTGGTACTGCTGATTCATGGATTAGACCGGTGTATCTAAAAGGTCTATTTAGTGTTGCAACAACTTCCACAAAACCTCCTTCGATAATTCGATCAGACCTTATAAGAGTACTTGATCGAATTGGTGTTAAGTGGCGTGAAGGTCGAGGTGGTTTTGAATGTGTTCACATACCGAGCATTGACTTGAAGTCTGTTGTTATTTCTAATTATGCTCATGGAGGAGTCACAAATCACCATCACTCTCATTTTAATCGAAATGAACGTAGAGGCAGTCATTCATCTGGCAATTCGGCCGCTTCTACATCATCATCAACTTCATACAAAGATAGCTATGCACAAGGACAAGATCTTCGTTTCTCGGCTGATGGCGAGGTTCGACTTTCGCTACCTGCTAATGTACATTCCGGGAGTCAACCTAATAACGATCCTTCGGTATCTACCACTGCCAATGTTACTGATCTTGTTGTGAGATTTGAAATTTTTATAGTTAAGGTTCCCCTTTTACTTGGAGTACATGGATTACAATTCCGCAGAGTTGCTGGTGATCCATGGCAATATAAAAATATGTGTTCAAAAATTTTGGGAGAATTGAAATTGTAACATGTAAATTATTTGCACGGAAAAAAAATACTTTTTTAGAATAGCAGCATATAATGATAAGATCATGAAATCTCGGTGTGGCTATTGTCTTTTATTTTATTTTATTTTTTTTTTATTATTTTTACCGGAATTTCAAATTTTGGTTGTAGATATATAGGTATTTATTCTATGATATGTTTTATTGTATTTCCAAAACTGTTATTATTATTGTTATTATTACCAAGTTTTGTGGGATTTATTGGGATTTTATGCTACAGAAATTTGTGTACAAAAATTTTCATTTCACATACATTATGTTTTCCAACTTCAATTTTATAATTTTTTTAAGCTGTAAGATTTTTTTTTTCTTCAAACAAACAAAAAAAAAAAAAAAAAAAAGGGAAAAGAAAAAAAAACTTTTCGTTAGAGCATAATGACTTGAAAAGAAATACCACAAGCACGTTCAAGGATTTCATTTAAATAAGAAATCTCTGAATGATCCGCTAATATCATATCATCCATTACAACTATTATACATTTGCTGCCTTATTTTATTAGAGTTAAGATTCTTTAATATCTATATCTACTCTATAAAAGATTATTTAACTTCTATACGCGTCAAATTGCTCATCACTTGAGGGGGCCACTCACTCACCTGACAATCGAACTAAAGAACTGTATATTTTTATTACTGTAATAATATAAATTTTTCAATAGTACTATTGTGTACTTTCAACATAGTACATGCAAACGTCACATGCATTTTTTTTTGTCGCGGTCGCGTTCATGCAACCTCAAAATTCCGCCCGGCACTAATCTAGCCAATAAGAAATAAGGGCACCCCAAAAAAAAAAAATATTTGCTTACAAAAAGTCAATCAAATCAACAAACTGAACATGAGAATTCAATACAAAAAGAAATCAGTTTTATTGTATTTGATTTGTTTCTCGTTTTAACGCACGTTGGAACCATTTTTTTTGTTCTTTATCCCTTGGATTAAATCAAGCTTTTCTGAGAGGAGTACAGTGTAAAGAGAAAAAAAAAATAAAAAAATAAAAAAAATGCCCAGAGAAAAGTCTTCGCGGAATAAGGAAAGTCAACGGTTTTCTTATATTTTACCTGCACCTAGTAGTACGGCTACGATTCCAACTATGGAGGAGGTACTTAACGGCCGACTTACAAAAAAGGAAAAGATTCATAAAACTGAAGATCCTTCAGAAACCAAGCACCGCGTTGGTAAAGAAAAGCAAAAAATAAAATCCTTACACAGTACAACTCGACATGAATGGTCAGAAACTTCTCGACATATACCACCACAACCTCCTAAACTTCCACGACTACCTACCATGGAAGAGATACTGGACGTGAACCGGCGCGTCAAGGTAGAAGAGCCTGAAGAAAATTATGATTCTTCAAGTGATTCGTCTCCATATACTCCATATGATTTTTCCCAAACTTTACCCCTCATGGAGGAAGTTTTAGATGTGAAGCGTAGTTTCACATTCGAAGTAAAAGAAGAGAGGTATTCTTCTACGCCCGCTACCTTTTCTCAAATATTATCCGCTCCTCAATATTCAAGAAAATCTTTAACAAAAATGGACACCATGCCCACAATGGAGGAGATATTGAACAGAAAATTGACAGAGACACCAAATTACCATATCGCGACTCGGTCATCCAAGGTTAGTTTGTATACTTTAATTTCTTCAAAGGTGGAAATCATCAAATAATGAACTGACGCGTTCTCGACTAATTTGTGATTAAAAATAAAAAAAAAAACAATATGATGATGATGATGATAATGATGTATTGGATTTGCATTTCTGTGGGACAATGCAAATTAGCTATTACTGTACATGATAAAATTTATCAACCAATTTATTAAGAAATGTAATCAGATGGCGCGTCTTCATTATTTAATTACGAATAATTTATTAAGGTTATTGTCTATTACATTATCACTAATAATATTTGCTTATCACTTGTTATCAGCGCAAAGCAAAGTCGGATCCACAAATTCCTATTCCATTGCCCGCTTTATCAACCTTATCAACGGTCCGTAAAGTTCAAGTTGACAACGTCGATCCACCAATGTCGCCCACGGCATTTACCTTCAAAATGAAGGTTCAAGATTTTGATAACCAAATTCCCATTTCATCTACTACTCATAAAACAAAAGCAGAAAACATGGATCAACCAATATCTAATTCACATAAAGCCAAAACAAACATAACAACTGCGATTGCAAAGGGCGATAATGTCTCTAAATCTACCGTTTCAAAAATATCCACTTTTAGTGCACCTGGAAATCCTAATGTAAAGCCGTGTTATTCGTACTCCTCTTTGATTGGCCAGGCCTTGATGCAGGCTCCTGGGAGAACACTTGCTCTAGCAGAAATTTATAGATGGATTTCGGAAACTTATCCCTTCTATAAACAGGATCAGGATGGTTGGAAGGTACTATATAGTATTATACATTATCATTATTTGTTCATCATATTGTCTTTATATATGCTCATATTACAACAAACCAAAATAGAACTCTATTCGCCACAATCTTTCTCTTAATTCGGCTTTCGTAAGAGTCCCAAGACAGGAAGATAGATTGCACTGTTGGACTATCAATCCTGAAGAAGAGCATTGCTTCAAAAATGGCGTATTCACTCCAATCAAAGTACGTGTTATTTTATATGATTTTCAACAATAAAATTAATATATATTAATTATTATTACCTTTATTCATAGAAACCGAAAGGTAATAAGCGACCTCGTACCAATATGTCAAGTAACGATTCTAATGAATTGAAAATAATCGATTTTGATTATGCTAGAAGTAGCAATTCAAGTCAAACCGTCGTAGATATCGACTCAAGTGATTCAACTATCGTTGATTCTGATTCAGGATACTGCGATTGTTCGGTTTAATTAAATTAGAAAGTATGACCATTAAAAATTATGGTTTAAATCAAATTTATGATTTTTTATCGCATTTAGTTATGTTAGATATTGACATAGATATGATCCAATCATATTAGGAAAAAAAAAAGGAATACATTCGAATACTTTTTGTATTAATAACGAATGATGGTATATAGATTTAGGTATTTTATCTGCAGGGATTAGGAAGCTTTGGGAAAAATATTTACCTATTTTAAGTAGCTATTAAATAGGTAATTTTTCAATATTTAAAAAAGTGATTTTATATATAAAAAAAAATTTGATTCAATTTTATTTTGTACGATAATTTTTTTTACTTATCATTCGCGTTGGCATATATATATACTTGGATATAAAATGCGGGTATTAGTGCATTTGTAGCTAAATATGATGTTATTGATGCTGTTGTTGCAAGCAGTACCGTTTTGTTTTGTTATGTATTGAGTAAATTATCCGGTAGGCAGAACATTAATTGTCCATAACGGTATAAATTATTCAACGTTAAAAACACCGTGATTTGTGTTACATGACGAATACGTTTATTTTTCTAATCATTAATCTCGCTATATAGTAAAAAATAAAATCCTGTTATTTAGTAAAAAATTAATGTAGTTAACCCCACTAACACTAATCACACCCTCGGAAATAATAAGGTTGTTTGCAAGTTAAATTTTTTATGTTTATAATAAGTTGAAACTTAATGCTATATGATTTTAGGTATAATTATAGCAAAAGTTAGTTTTTATAAAAAAAAAATTTTTTTTTTTATATTGTTTATACTTGATATTGATTGATAACTTTGATCATAATATACTGTATATTTGAAATTGATTAATTAGATTACGACAAAATTTTAATGATATGTACGTATATATATTAAAATTTTTATATACAGTATACGATATTATATAGATAATTAAAAATATTGATATAAACAAATTTTAATATACTGTATATTGTGATTTAATTATTATGATACTACTGTATATACCGTATATTAAAATATATACTGTTTTATATTTAAAAGTAAAAAAAAAAAAAATTAAAATGCCGGTAAGTATTAACTAATATATTTTATTACAGTCTAATCTCGATATAATCATCAGATTGATAACTAAATTTAATAAGATAATATATAGTATCTATACAGAGACTAATTTTTTATGCTTTATAATAATTGGTAAAATAAAAATAAAATTTTTTTATAATTTCTGTAATTTGTAATTTAATATTTGTTTTTTTTTGTTTTTTTTTCTCATAAATGCCATAGTTGAAACTTTATTTAATAAAATAGAAAATAATCTACATTTAAAGATTTCAAAACTATTATTAAATATTTCAAATTAATTAATTAGCTAGAATAGATTAGAGAAACCTAATTTTTTTGATTTTAAAATAAAATTATGTCTTTATTTTTTATTAAAATTTAATTAAATTTTTTTTATAAAAAATATAGGGAATTGTTATTTCCACCCCTATTTTTGCTAATACCACCCTCTAAAATTTAAAAAAATGCTCCGGAAGAGGTATTGTTATTAAGAAAACCTTTTTTTTGTTTTAATAAAAGTTGTTTATCAGACCTTTCTAGTTCTAATGGTCATAAAATCATTAAAGTCAGACCAATAGTTTTTATTTAAAAGTAAATGAAAGTTAACTAACTTCAGATATAAATATCTTAGAAACTACTAATCTGAGTATAATGGTTTTACTACCATTAGAACTGAAAAGGTCTGATGAACAACTTTTATTAAGATTACAAGAAGGTTTACTTAATAAGAATATCTATTTCAGAGCACTTTATGATATTTGGAGGTGGTATTAGCAAAAATGGGGTGAAAATAGCAATTTTCAATATATATATATATAATTATATTTAAATTTTATATTTAAAAAATATTAAAAATAATAACTTAGTAGATTTAGGCTACAAAAAATTTTGTCTGAGCTTTTTATTTTTGATATTCTTTGGATATAAAGTTTATATATAAAGAAATTTAATTAAGTTTTAATAAAGTTAGAAAAATGATCTTATTTTAAAATTCTAAAAAAATAAAAATAAAAACTTAAACTATCTTTTAAACTGTATTTTAGGCAAATTTGTTTGAAAAATTAAATTGTATTTAGTATTTTTTAAATAAAATAATAATTTATATATATAAATTTATTATAGAATACAGTCTGATTTCATTATAATCACTCTTAATATAGTTACAACCTTGTTATTATCATACTATTTTTTTTTGACTGAGCTAATATAAAACTTATAAATTTTGATCTTCATATAGTCACAACTTTTTATAATTACAAAAATTTTGTTTCTTAACCTGATGATTATATTAAGGTTAGACTGTATATACTTTTTTTTTTAAAAAAAATAAAGTTTTGTTTTTATTTTTATTAATATTTTATATTGAGAATCTACTATAGGTTTCTTTGGCCAGAGCCAAATTACTAAAATTTTACAAGAATGAGATTTAAACTATCAGAAACTATCTAACTAGAAATTCTGATTCATCTGCAATCTAAACCTACTAGAGTAATTAAAAGTTATCTAAATTTGATAATATAAGATGTTATTAGTTAGTGTACTATATTTAATTCATATAATAGTCTATAATAATATTTTTATAATTGTCTTTTTAAGGGGTGGAAATGTGTTATTATCATGTTATTAGTTAGATAACCCACAAGAGCAGCTTATATGTATAGTATTTTGCAGCATATTGTATTAGAATTAGTTGTTCTATAAGAAGTTTTTGAACTTCGATTAGGTCTGGAAAGTATATTATTTTGTTGTTTCTATTCTGAAAGTTTGGCACAGTATGGTATTCATATCTAATTATATATATTTTGTGAAATTTGTATAAGGGGTTGAATAGTTGTCTTTGTTGCAACTTGGTTAGAGTTTGTATATTCTCTTATAGATTGTATAAGGAATATTGAAAAACATTGGTAATTTATAAGTATATTTTATAGTTCTTGTAGCTAAATATTGGTAATAAGTGTATTTATTGTAGATGTGTTTGGATAAATAAGCTAATGTTTTTGGCTTTCTTGAGCTTTACATATTATACAATTGTTATTTGGAATTGTTGATGAATATAATATGTGTTGATATATTAAAATAAGAAGTATATCTAATATAAGTTTAATTTTAAATGTTTTTTGTTAGCATAATTTAAAGTTGATATAAGTAGTTGACCTTTTGTAATTGTTGTTTAGATAGAGTCAGGTTGTATTTCAATTAATTTTTTTTTTTTTTTTTATAATCAAGGTCAGCCTCTTTGGCTTTTTGCTTTTATTAGATTATAGAATCATGTGGTGCTCTTATCAAAAGGGCCCCAGACAAGTACATTCTGATGAGAATATATTCTAGCTATACTTGCACCTTTTGAGTGTTTAATTTAAGTAGTCTGGCTATTACTAGGTTCTACACTAGATGCCGTACCTGTAACCCACTATTATTTAGATTACCTAATTAAACTCTTTGATCTGAGTTTCCTATGCCAATCCATCTAATCTTATCCGAAACATGCAATACATAAGTCAGTCCAAGTTTTAAGATTGTCACGAGCCACCTATAGAACTACCGGCATGGTTAACTAATTCATCCTTGAGTGCATTATCTACTAGAGCAGTCCGGTATCCACTATTATCATATTACCTAGTCTTTTTTGGATAAATCTTGTCAGATAGATTTTATACCTTTATGGGCAGGCCATACTGCCAATTTTTTCTGCAGATAAGTTTATCGAATAGGTTTTAAACCTTTCTAGACAGGCCACACTACTGAACCCTCTGGTCCTTGCAAAGTTTTCTTTCAAGACAACCTGGTATCTTCCCCCTAGTCAGTTTCCCCAGACTACCAGATAGCCCAAAAGAGACACCAGTCTTGTGGTATTTGCTAATCCTTTTCTTCTAGTTGATGCTCAAGCCAATGGCCTGGTTGGTAAAACAACTTGCCAGGTGTTTTTATTACATCCAGTTTTCAGCCTTGGGTAAAGCCTATTCTAGTAGCCACTATCAAAAGTTTGTACTATATTTCTACTCGGGTTTTGCCAAGTGGGCATTTATCTTTCTGATTTTTTAGGTTTATATAAGCATAAGGTTTTATCTTAGGTTTGTACTGACTAATACCAGCTTGCATGCCTTCATATAACTTATGCATTGTACAAATGCCCTATGTTCTTCCAATCTTGTTGGTGCAACCAAGGTTACAAAGATCTCATTCTAACTAATTGTCGAAAAACAGTAGCTATTATACAAGCAGAATATTCAAAATTTCGCCATTGGTGGGTTTCGAACCCCACCTGCCAACTTGCTGCTTGAGGATGTGACAATTTAATCATTTTACTAAGTTGTTACACTCTTCGTATTTCAATTAATTTAAGGTGATAGAGATATTATATTGTTTATACAATGTTGGGATGATCACATTGCTATAATGTGAGCATTATATATTTTTAATAGATCTACAAGTTGGTTGTTGAAATATAAATTGTTGATATTGGATGAGATATGATAAGTTGTATTTATTATTATCTATAAGTTGTAGTGTAGTTAAATAATTAGCATTTTTTGCTAGTCTGTTTGCTAGATTGTTAAAAGTGTTATTATTATATCCTATGACCTTTTCTAATTGAATATTTAATTTGTAGGCTTTGATAATATTAAGCAAAGTATACTATATAGGCTAGTAGTTGTATAAATATTGTTTATTAATGTTGGTAGTGATAGCATGATGGATATTCAATTTGATAGATTAATAAATGTAAACAATAAATGTGATCATTAACCAATCAAATTAATTAAACATCTAATATTAGTTATATATATATTTTTCATTAGCGTTAGCAAAGCTTCGCTCTTCTTATTTATTGTAGCAGATTAAAATAAAATTCAGATTAAAATGAAATAATAATATAAAATCTCGAAAAATAATTTTTTTGGTATGTATTTTTTAGAGTTAGGTGTTAGAATTAGGAGTT